GGGAAATGGAGAAGCCAAAGAACTTAACACGCATGACCCATGGACATGAACTAAAGTTGGGGGAGGAGAATGATGGAGGGAATGGGGGTACTGGGCAGAGGGAATGCAGGGGAGAAAAAAGGAATGAGACAACTGTAATAGCATAATCAATAGACTATACTTTAAATATAAGTAAATAAAAAATGTTAAAAAAGAAAAGAAAGAAGAAATTAGAAACACAATGGCATGACTGGTTCCACTGAGAAGCAAGGAGATGGGACAGGGAAGACTATCTAGGGGCTTGAAAGACAATGGTAATGTTCATTTCTTAAACTGAGTGGGTTTTGTGTCATTGTTCGTATGTCTTAGATGTGTTCTATAAATCATTTTGTATACTCTCAATGTTATTAAAACATGTAAGAGAAAAAGATGAAGAAATGGCCGAAGTTTGCCATGATGAGAAAAGCACCAGTGAACTGACAGGGGAACGGTGCATGCTCCTTCCTAACCCAGAGTTTGCCCTGGATAAAGTAATGTCCTGTCATTTCGTCTTTTCGCTTTTGGTTGGGGTTAACACTACATACCACACAGAAATCTTCCGAGGATCACAAAAGGCAGTGGTGATGAAAGTGTCTTGTAAAAGTAAAAGGGCCATGCGAATGTGAAGTGGCATTATTCTTGACAATTTCAGGCTGCTTGCAGGAGAACAAAAGCCACAGCTTGTGACTCAGTCCCAAACCCCTCACTGGGGCCCGCCCTGGTTTACAGAAACCAGCCATGGTGAGCAGTCTGAGCTCCTCTCCACACCCGATCCCTCCCTTTCCAGGCTGCACTCACCAAATTCCATTGTAAATGTTGCTTCCTCCCACCCACCCACCCCCCAAAAAATACCCTTAAAAATCATACCCTCAAAGCCAACAAAAGATTTATTATTTGTTCGGGGCTTTGTTTTATTGTTTAAATCCATGTTCCTGTTTCCCACCACTACCATGGATGCACCTGGGTATTCAGCAGGTGCACTGCGAGCTTTTGTTGGTTCTCTTCAACCTCTTGTTGAGCTCACCCACCAGATCCCCGGAAATGAAGGGTTAGGGCTTTCCCTGAGCCCTGCCTGTGGCAGTGGGCCTTTGACCACAGAAGCAACCCCTCCTTCCTCTTTGGATGAAGATCTCGGTTCAGAAAGCTCTGAAAGCAGGGGGAGAGGAAGGGCAGGATTCAGAATTTCTCTTTGCAAACCGTGGGCTTGTTCATGGGAGGTGTGTCTAAGGTGTAGCCTAGCTGCTTTATTTGTGGGTTGACTGCTGGAAGCCAAAAGGTTCCCCTGCTGACACCCCCTGGGCATCCAAGCTCTATCTTCCTCTTCACAGGAAGGTCTCCTTGATGGCCAGGGTTGTGGGGCCACCACCATTGGCCCCTCCTTAGGGGTTCAGGAAAACACCCCAACTCTCCCCACCACACCTTGCTTTCTGCCCACATGAGGGCGCTCGCTCCACACCCCAATTACCAGTCACTGCCGGCCTGAGGTATTTTCCAAAGAGACTTGAATAGAGCCAAGGCTTGCACAGGACTGGGCAGACCAGGAGCTGGAACCTGGGTCCCTTCCTGTGGTCCAACCATGCAAGTCTCTACTCCCTGCAAGGCAGAGGAGACAACTAGAGAAGGAAGGACTCCAAAAGGTGATGGTTCCAGCCTTCTCAGGAAGTCCCCACCCCAGGGAGGAAAAAGAACTACTTCCACAAAGTTAGGCCCCCAGGGAAGTGGGAGATAAGAGGGGAAGATGAACACAGTCTTACCCTGAAGTCCCCGGAACCTACAGGGGAACTTGCTTGGTTCAGACCAGGCCTGGAGGGGACAGAACTGTGACAAATGCTGCACTGCCCTGAGACAGTTTACTCTTTTGCCCCCTACTCCCACCTTCTCCCTGCAAACACTAATAATGCAGACAGTGCTGATGGGGCCTGGGGTCTGAGAGTCAGTCTTGACTCCAGGAAATAGCCAGAGTGATTCCTTCTGCTGAGGCTGCAGGGGTGGGCAGGGCTCTATACTGACAGAAAGGCTTGAAGCTGCGGTTTGCCCAGCTCCAGGGACCCCTCTGTCCCTCCCTGCCCCACCCCATGACTCATGTGTCCCTGCAGCTGCCAGCTCCCCAAACCGCCACCCCAACTCAAAGGATGATGTCCCTGAATGCAGGGACAGGCTGCTAAAGCATGCCTCCCACCTTAGACCAGGCGTGGGCAGCTGCAGTAAACTCAGCCATCCTCAGGGGTCTCAGAAAGAACATCCCAGGCCAGGCTTTGGGTATGCCACATGTGTCCTCTCAGCCCCCACTTCACGGTGGTGAGAAAGTGAGCTGGCCAGCCCAGGGCCCTCCTGGCTCTTCTTCTCTCACCACACCCAGAGCAAAACACACCTTCTGGAACCCTGCTAGCACTGTCTCTGCCCCACGCTGGACCCTTCACAGCCTGGCTCAAGCACCATTTCCCTTTCCAAGCCCATCCAGAACCCTCTCTACTGGACCGTTTGCACCTTTCCTTAAGAGGGCTTTGTCCAGAGTGGGCACCTTTTCTAATTCACGTAATGGCACCTTAGGAGCTAGCAGTAACCTTGTCAGAGTTAGATCCACCATCCTATGGATCCTCCCACCAGCTCCCCTGGCCTGGCGAGTCACTGAGTCACTCCCGGAGCATTCTGAACAAACCCTCTGCCGGCTGGGACAGCGCCAAGCAGAGGAGGAAGCAGAACTCATTGGAAAGCGAGGACACATGATTAAAGTTGACAAAAATAGGTATATATTTATTGTACAATTACCCACCACTGGACTGGACTTAAGCCAACTAGAGGGTGCCTCTACCTTCCCAATTTATTCTTAGCCACTGAGAGCTCACGGTAGAACACAGCCAAGGCTCCTGAAAAGTGATATGTTCCTGGAAGTTCACCACCTGGTCCCGTTCTGGTGCAGGCCAGCCGTTGGCATTCCACTTTGGGACTTCTGCAGCCTCCAAAGTGCTGCAGTGAAAAATTCAGACTCGGTGGTGATGAGAACCTGGGTTCTCTCTCTTTCCCCCTCCCAGGCGGCCCTCTCTCCTGTAAATGGCTCAAGAGGGTACTCACTTGTCACCAGAGATCCCAATGCACCTTGGGTTCACCTCTCCTTTGCGCCTGCCCCTCACTCAGAGGGAGTGAATGCCAGGCTGAGAGTATCCCCCACCCCTTCAGGGGAGTGGACCTATGAGCTCAGTAAGGCCAAGGCATATGAACTAGGACCCCAGCATGCCAGTCAGATGCATTTAGCACCTCCCCCTTTCTAATCTGCTTCTAAAGGGCAAGAGGTAGGAAGAGCTAAGGAGGATGGGTGGTTTGGGGATTCGAAGGAACAGATAGGGCTGCAGCTGGAAACCGTCCTCCAAGGGTTCCAAAAGAAGTAGGGAAGTGTCGGGTGGGGGGAGTGGAGGCTGCACACCCAGCCCTTCATGCACAGCCTCACAGGGCCACACACCACAGGCTGACACACCCAAGAAGTGCCCTCTCACACTCCAGAAAAACCTATGGTGGGAGCCACACCACTGGAAGCCTTAGCCAGGATCCAGCCCACACTCCTAACTCCTGCACAGACCTGCCCAGTCTGGATCCCACACAGTGGACCTGGGCGGTGCAGCTGCACCAGCCCCAGGGTGGCCGAGGGACAGCCAACCTGGCCAGAAGTCACCTTCTAGCTGCAACCAAGCCAAAGGGAGCATGGAGGGGATGCACTGAGTAGTCGACCTGCCTGCAGCCACTGGCCAGGGGTGCACCACGCCCCACCCCATGGTTTGCACAACACCCACCCGGCCCATTCAACTTTTTCATGCCTCCTGCTCCAGAGCTGTTGAAGAAGGCAAGGGAGGGAGCTGGTGGGAAGGTGGGGGACCCAATGGAGACCACTGCTCAGTTTGCCTGCCTTGGTGACAAGTGACAAGCAGTGTGTGTGTGTGTGTGTGTGTGTGTGTGTACATGTGTAGGGGGAAGGTGGAAAAGGGTGCCCCACAGAAGGTGTTCAGGCTCAAACCTAGATGGGGGTAGGGGTGTAGCCAGTGATATGATTTAAATTTTGAAGGACTTCTGCAACATCTACCCACCAGCAAAAATAAATTCCTACTACCACCCAACTTCCTCCTTCCACCCCCACCTTGGAATTCTACTTTCTACCTGGAGCTTTAGGATTAATGAGCCCGCCTGCCTGTAAGCATCACTAGTTACTGCCCCTCCACCGAGGGTAATGGCAGGGGTGGGGGTGGGATTTGCTGCTACCCAGGGAGGAATGGAGGAGAGGGAAGAGGGCTGCCAAGTTTGCCCATCTTTTTTTTAAATGTATTGATTTTAGGGAGAGAGAGGAAAGGAGAGGGAGGAGAGAGAAATAATTTGTCCCACTTATTGATGCATTCATTGGTTGATTCTTGTATGTGCCCTGACCAGGGATTGAACCCACAACCTTGGTGTACCAAGTCTATGTTTTAAACAACTAAGTGACCTGGCCAGGGACCACGTTTGCCCTTCTTTTTTTTTATTATTTTGTCTTATTTTTCATTTTGTTTTGGCGGAGGCAGGGCAGGGGGAGTTGTTATGTTTTGTTTTTGCCCTTCTTGTTAGTGTCGTCAGAGGAAACTCCTGTGAGCAGGGTAAACTCCACTACCGCCAGGTACCACACCCCAGACAACCCCAGTGTCCTCACTCTCAAAGCACTTTCCCCCTTAGCTTTCTCTGCATCTGAGCAGCATCCGTGGAGGGCAAGCAAAAGCCTGGCCCCACTTCCCCATTTTCCAGCACGGCAAAACTAAGCCTGGAGAAGCTCAGTGCGGTCCACAGTGAAGAAGACCAGGAAGAGGAGTGGGAGCGCAGGGCCCTAGCTCCCGGAGGCTCTCAACCCACTCGAGGAGAAGCTCTGCCTTGCCCCACCCCACCCCCAGCCAAGGTGGACAAAACGTCTTCAAAACTAGCCCCCAGACACCTGGAGTGGGAAAATCTTTATTTCCGCTGGTGGAAGGGAAGGCTGAAGCGGGGTCCATTTGGGAGGGAGGGGGTGATAGGGCTGCTGAGCATCTGCGGAAGGAGCTGTAGAGGCCGGGGCAGCGGCTGAGCCCCGTCATTTGTGGTCCTCCAGGAAGAAGTCATTGTAGGCCATGCACAGCGTGGTCAGGAACACCGAGTACTCCTTAAAGTCGATCTCCTGGTCGCAGTTTTTGTCAAGGCTCTTCATCAGGTCATCGATACTGCCCTCCTGCATCTTCTTGGAGAGCCCAAGTACAGGGACACGTCAGCCAGCCCTCTCGGCCCTGCCCCACCGCTGCAGGTGCCTCCCGCCCCTGGAAAGGCAGCCCCACGGTGACCCCCATTGACCCCCACCTGAGTCGACAACACTCTGAGCATCTGGACCCCCGGTCCCTCCCCAGCCCACACCCAGCACAGGGTCTGGCACCAAGCAGGGGTGTGGGGGCCTGATATTTGAACTTAAATAAATTACAGTAGGAAGGCAAGGCCACCCGCCCTTTCCCTCACCACTTTCCACCATCCAGATTTTATATGACACCTGACAGGAACACCTTGGTGACGCTGTGGCATTGAGCATGATCCGAGTCTCTGATTTATGCTGTCCCTTTGGCGGATAGGTGAGGATGGACCCAGACTATACGCATCTCTCCACGACAGCAGCGTGTGGGAGCTGAGGAGACGCAGTACCCTTCCCTGCTAGCAGAACTTGCAGGGCAGCTGGAGGGAGATGAGTGCCTGGCACCCAACCGTCATCCCTGTCTGGTCCCCTGCCCTCCCAGCCCAGTCCCACCAAGAGAACGGAGACAGGGCCCTGGAGCCGTGCAGGAAGAAAACACAGACACCCTGCCCTCCCCTCTTCACAGGGTGAAGCTCCAGCTTTTCCACAGGAGACAGGACGTCGGGATGTACAGAGATGGAAACAGCTTCTCTGTGACGCAATCCTTGTCCCCAGTCTGTGCTCCTGTTGTAGCCAGACCCTCCCCAGGGCCTCTGTCCTCCTGTAATTAACCCCTACTGGCCCTGCGGCCCCTCCCTCGGCCCTCATTAACTCCAGGATGCAGAACATCTGGCAGGAAGGCCGGAGAGTAGGCCTGGTGACACACACACACCTGCTTCAGTCCCCTGCCCCCTGCCCACAGGGGCACACTTCGGGGAGCTCCTCTCTGGGGAGGCCCACCAGGGCTCAGTATGTGACTGAACTTTAAAGGAAAAGGGAAGAGTGATACACAGGCCTTGCCTGGAATTCCAGCTCAGCCTCTCACGGGTCAGATGTCCCTAAACAAGTCATATAATGTATCTGAGCCTCAACTTTTTTAACTGTAAAAAAAATACCATAACTACTTTATAGTCCGTCCCCTCTGCCAGTTGCCTCTCTCCCAGCATCTGCATCTGGCAACAAGCAGTTCTGTCTCCTTCCAAACCCGTGTTCACAAACTTGCAGAGCTATCCTTTTGGTTCCTGTGGCAGCACCAGCTGAGAGTGGTGCATGTGGGGGCTCTGCCCTTGAGCTGTGCCCAGCCCGGCCTAGACCCCCTGGGTCCCCTCATCCCCTGCAATGCCTCACTTAGGCTCTGCCACCCCTGTGTGGGCCTGGCCTCCAATCAAAGACTCCTTGATTTCATTCTCTAAAGCCTCCACAGACTTTCTTCTTCCCAGTGAAATCCGACTGACCCCGCAGCCTGGAGATCTAGAGTCCTGCGGGCCTAAGGCGCTCACCTTCTTCCTTTGGTTTCTGTCCCTTTTGGCCACCCTGCTCCTGGCTGAGACTAGAGTACCCTGGGGGCAGGCGTGTGTCCCCTCACTCTGGGTCTCTATGGAGGCAGGGCCGGGTCTCCCACCTCCACTGGAACGCCCCCCACCCCCGACAGTGGTATCAATGCTTCGGTGCTTCCTCTTTTCCTCCCTCCCCTCCCGTGGGGCCCACAGGAAACACACAAACTTGGGCGGGTGAAACGGCGGCCACCTACCTCGCCAAGACACAGCTCCTTCTTGATCAGCTCCTTCAGTTCCTTCCTACTCAGCGTCAGTTTGCTGCCCTCTCTCCCCGAATATTTGTGGAAAGTGGTGACCATCGTGGCCAGGGCCTTCTCAAGAGGGGTCTCCATGAGGGTGTGCAATTCTGGAGGGGGAAGGGAGGGGACAGGTCACATTTCTTGGGAAGCCAGGTCTTCTGCTGCCCCCTATCACTAGCCCATCTCCCAGACCCATCCCTCGAGGATCAGAGACTGGAATCCATGAGACCAAAATCCACCAACAGGTGGACTCAAATGTGTCACGGATGGTTCTAGTGAGAGCCAAGCTCAAGTGGAACAGTCAGAGTGCAGAGAGACCGGCTCCCGAAGGAGGCTGCACCCCGCCCCACTCCGGGGATGTTGAAAACGGGGTCTCGGGGCCGAAGTATGACAAGATGAACTCTCCAAAGGAAGAACTGGTGATAGATGACGGAGCAGATAAGGGGTCAGGATTTTCTCCCTGCCCCATCCAGCCTAGACATTCCTTTCCAGAGGCACCCTAGTCACCCTCCTTTGCCTCCTGTCCTATGTGGGAGTAGGGAACAGGGCAAGAAGAGAGTTCAGAGGTTGGAGGGGGCTAGAGCTGGACCCGGGAGATAAGACCTCAACAGGAAACAGAACAGAGGTGACTGGAGTTGTCCAGCTGGTCTCCAGTCTCTGGCCCAGAGAACTGTGCCCGGAGACTGGCCACAAGGCAGCAAAGGGGGTGCACTTATTGAATTCTCCATATCATTCTGAGAGGTGGATCCAGAGGTAGCATTGGATGGGGCCCTCTGGTTCATCAGCACAGCCACACCCACCCAAGTAAAGAGGCAGCTGGAGCTCCTGTGACTCAGACTTGAAAACCACTTCCCCCTTTGGGAGGAAGGAGGCGACACCCAGGGAACTTGGAGGCTGCAGGTAAATCTGTGCCGAGTCCAGAGCAAACAGGAAGAAGCTGCTGGCTCTCATTGTCAACCCAAAGACTGCCCCATGATTCTCGAACTGGACCTGTCCTTCACCTCACACCTGCCAAAAACCTCAGTTTCTCCCCACCTCCTGGAGACTCAGCCAGGACCAAAGTGGAGGCAACCACAGAACCCCTCTCAGGAAATGCTGAAAGCCACAGTTCAAATGCCCTGCTCACCTTTCCCTAAATAGATGCCTACTCATTGGGCCGGGTCTCCCTTGGTGGAGGTCATCGTGGCTTGTCACCCTCTGACCTCATCATCACCCAGCTTGCCCTACCATGTAGATGAGCAGGGAGATAAGAAAGGACTCACCAAGGAAAGACCAAACCAGAGAACTCTCGCAGCAAAAACAGGCTCCCTTCCACTTTTCTCCGCCTTTATTCCCTCTCTCCAGTCCCCAGGAAATTAGCAGAGGGGCAGGGCCAATGAGAAGGGGCCAGGGACATGAAGAGACCCAGGTCAGAGTCTCCTGGGACAGGGCTGGGGAGAAATCCCCTCTGCCAATCTTACCTTTCTATTTCCAAAGGCAGGGACGGCACACTGAGCCCCCTGAGACATACACATCATCAGCCCTGGAAGCTTTGTTTCCCCAACAGAAAATCAGAATTCACAATCTGATGGGTCAATAGGGCAGGAGAAAAAAAGCCAGGCTATCCCAGAAAGAAGACCCAAGAGGTGTGGACCAAACACTGGGTATTTCCCACGCCCTAGTCTGCTGTCCACTTGAGCCCTCCCAACCTCTTCAAGAGCAGAGCAGACACACCTGGAGATGAGAATTAGATGGGAAGATGTTTCTTGCCAAGGCGATGGTCTAGGTCATTAGGTAGTATAGAGCCTAAGGTTTTGAAATGGCTTTCAAATGAATGATTTCTTCTACACCTCATTCAACTTCCTGAGAAAAAATTGTCAGAGACTCTTGGAATGGAGGACTGTAAATCAGGGCCTGGGGAGGGGGTCCAGGGAAGGGTAGGTCCTGGTGATGGGATAGAGGTTTGGATTGTGGACAGCAAGTTCCAGGTGCAGTAATGAATGGGGTAGGGGTCAGGGAGAGTTGCTTTATCCCAAGAGAGACTCATTGTTCTACCATGAACCAGTCCAAGCCTGAGAACAGAACGGAGTAGGGGCTTAGCACCTGTGGCTGCTGCAGCCCCACCCGAGCTTGCCTGGGTCTTCTCTGCGGTCCCACTCCACACCTACCCCCAGCTGGCAAGGCCAGAAAGGCAGCGGGGACTGGTTGCCTAGCAACAGAAGTTTCCAAAGCAGAGTGTGAAACTGGAGGAGGCTCTGGGGAGGGCACTCCCCAGGGTTATGGGCAGACTTGGGGCAGGGCGGAAGGCAGAGAGAGAGGAGGGAAGAGGCAAACTTTTTCCTGGACCAAAGTTCTTCCAAAGTCTCTGTAATCACACTGAGGGAATATCTGAGTCACCTACCCCATTCTTCTAAAACTTGAAAGAAAAACAACACGATGAGAAGCAAAAGGGAAAGCTTAGAAGGTCAAGGGGACAAACCCCCCCCCTGCCTCTGGACCTGCCCTCTACTCAGCTCTTCCTTAGAGGTCCCCATACACCCAGGTGTGGCCTGGGAAGCTAACCTCGATCCCACTCACTGGAGGTTGGAGCTACTGCCCTTTAACCTATAGAAAAGTAACGCAGTGCCTGATATTTTGGGGGTGGGGAGAGCCTCAATTTTATTTATCAGATCATATGTCTGGAATTTTGTCTTCAGAACTGTGGTCGCCTCCCACTGTCTCCCTCACTCCCACTACAGCCCCTGTCCTCCACTCACCCCTTCCGAGCTGTTCCGTCCTTCTCTGAAGGAATGCGATCCCTAACTAATAACAGCTCTCACTCATCCCAGGACGTCTGGGACAAAGACAGGGGGTTAGAGAAGGACAATATTCTCAGGCCGTTGCCGACAGCCTGGTCTCCCTCTACATCGCCCCTCTGATCCGATCACATCCAGGAAGGACTCACTCATTCCTGAGGGTTTAAGCCGTGACCTGGAAGGAGGCACCAGGACCAAGCCCACCTCCACATCTCCCACGGCCTCCCCGTGACTCAGCCCCTTCCCCCACCGCACCCTCAAGGCGCACAAGCTTCATCCCAGATACCAACCAGGAGCAGATGTGACCTTCCACCCATCCCAGCCTTAGTCAGAGGTCCGGCTGGAGCCACCATTGGAGAGGTGGGAGTAGCAAATGCCCCAACTAAGATTCTAGAGCTGGCACAGTCCAAGCCTCTGGGAGTCCCTTTATCTGCCTTTGGTCCACTCAGAGTCAACTCCGTCTCACACACACACACACACACACACACACACACACACACACAGAGTCACACTACATCCCTCCCCCATCCTCCAGTTCTCTCCACAAAACTGCAGTTCAACTCCCTTAGCCCTCAGCCTCGACCCCATGCCCCTAGCGTCTTTCAGACCATTAGACTCATAGTTTTCAAAAATCTTTATTGAATTTGCTCAGCATCCTGCACACATCCGGAGGAGCCAGGGCGAGGCTTTGTGCTCACTGCCCACAGGGGAAACTCCAGCTGGCAGGCCCCCACCGCATCTGAGGGGCCCTCATTTCTTCCGGGGCAGCTTGTCGGGGAAGCCCTCGAAGAACTCGTTGCACATCATGGCGATGCAGGAGAGGAAGACACAGTACTCCTGGAAGTCCACCTCGTTGTCCTTGTTGCTGTCTAAGTTGCTCATCAGCTTCTGGAATGCTGCTTCATCTGTCCTTTTCTGCAAGGGGAAGAAGCTACAGGTAGACACCAGCACCCGAGGGATGGAGCCAAGACCAGACCAGGTGTCCACATGCAGGTGGGCTCAAGAAGGCGCAGCCAGTGCTGGGGCGTCCAGCTTTGGAACTCCAGCCTCCGGGACTAAGCTAGGAGGCTGGAGTTCCAAAGCTGGAACATATGTTACTTAGCTTCTCTGAGCATTGGTTGCCCTTCAGTTAATTTGTGCAAAGCCCCTGGCCAATTGTTGGGCCGGTAACCTGCCTGTTCATTCTCAGCCTCCTTTCTGCTGGGCGCCAGGAAGTGAGTGGTGGGTCCTCACTCTGTCTCCACCCCAGGCAACCAGAGCAAGCTCTCTGCCCCACCTTCCCCAACTCAACGTTAGGTGCCAGCTGAAGCCACCGCTCTGCAGAAAGACTGGTACCCCCCAGGGCCCTAACCCCTCCTCTGTGGGGGACGCCCCACAACGGAGACTCGTTCCCAGGCAGTAGTCACTCACCCCCAAGAAGCTGGGCATCTCCCGGGTCAGCAGGTCCTTTAGCTCTGACTTATTGAGCTTGAACTTGTCACCTTCCTTGCCCGAGTACTTGTGGAAGGTAGACACCATCACATCCAGGGCCTTCTCCAGAGGGTATGCCATGGTAGCAGTTGAGATCTGTGGGCAGGGGTCACAGAGGCCTCCTTATCTACCTCACCCCAGCTGTGTAATTAGAATGCCCGCCCCACTCCCATCACTCAAGGTACCCTTGGTGACATTCTACTCCCACCACAGGGGGAGCCCAGAAAGGTGGGGCTCAACTCCTGGGGGGAGCACAGTGGGAAAGGTGTGTTTTGGCAGCACACACTTGCAGGATCCACTGAACAGGCTCTGGGTTTCAGGCAGCAAACTCCCGGGGCCTCACTCAGTCCACTCAGCCCACAGCAGCCCGCCCGGCTCATTCTTCCCCCTCCCAACACTGGGCGAGGCTGCTGGAGCCTGCCCAGGAGCTTGTAGCGGAAAACACCAGCGGTCTAGTGTAGGGAGGGGCAGGGTGAGGTGGCAGAGGCAGGGATGCTGGGGAGGCCGAGCACCCATGGGCTGGGCTGCTGGGTGCTGGGCAGAGGCTCACGGACACTACCAGACAAAAGCTCGCAGTTGCCTTCTGCCTCTACTTTGCCTCCCACACCAGAGTATGCACACACAAGCCCATGCAAGCCAGCAAACACAAGCCAATGTGCACACCCACTGGTCACATGCACACCAAACATACTAGAGCAATTGAACGTACTATAGCTCAAATCCAGCCACCTGCACGCGTCTTTCTCTTTGCTTTCTCTCTTGCATATGCACGGGTGTGCACGCACACACATCCCACCCCAGAGCCTCCACCTTGGAATCTCACATCTGGACCTCATCAGCACATCTGGCCCCTACCAGCCACCTCTTTTTCTTGCCCTGAGCCTCAGCCTGCCACCCCTTGCTTGCCACTCAAGTGACCACAACTCACCAGTCCAAGAGAGAGGAAGCGCTGAGGAGAGAGGGTTGGGGAGACAGGAAGGGTGGGGAAAGCCCAGCGGTCTGACCTATTTATACCCCAGCCAGGCCCTGCCCATGGCAGCGGATGGGGGAGAGAGGGAGGCAGCCCTCTCGCCTGGGCCAATGTGGTGCATGCCAGGGCCCCCTCCACCAGCCCAGCCTGGAAACACAGTTCCCTGCCCTGAGGGGCCAAAGAGAGACAATGGGAGAGCCCAGTGGGCACAGGCAGGGGCCTCGATAAGGTGGGCACCCTCCCCCCACAATGTAAACGGCTCGGCCTGAGTTTTAGGTAGCTGAAGGAAGGGGCAGTCTATGCCTGGGAATGGGGGGCAAAGAATAAGTGGCCCCACCCAGCAGCTAGGAAAGGGGATCCAGGTGTGGTGGGTGATGGGTGGGAAATTGCCCTGGAAACAGGACTGCCCAGGAATTAAGGGACAGGACCCCAGGCTCAGTGATTGGGACAGCTCACAGCTGCCTTTCTCCCCTCCCCAAAGGGCTCTCTGCCATGTTGAGCGAGGCCCAGGGCAGGAGCTAGAGGTCTGGGAGGAGGAACAGGCTAACACCTAAAGGAGGCGCTGGGACCACCCAAGCTTGTCAGTGGAGAAGGGATCCTGGGAGAGGTAGTGACAGAGTAGGGAGTGGGAATCAGGTGTGGGAGTTCAGGGATGGATTGGCGGTACCAGGAGCAGGTGGGGCAGGGAGGGCCTCCCCAGTGGGAGTTTAGAATTGGGTGGGTGTCTCTAATGAAAAATGGGGTAGAAAGTTAGAGAGAAAATGACACAAAATGGGAGAGTTAGGGATCAGGGTTAGCCCCTCGGGGTGGGATATGAATTCAGGGACTGAGTGAGGGTCAGAAGTGATGGTTAAGACCCTCAAGTGGCTGTGGCTTCAGGGATGGGGTGCACCTCAAGGTCTCCCCTTCCCCTACGGTTTGCAAGGCACCCCTCCCTGGCTGGGACAACACCCTAATCCATCTCAGGCACCCTAATCCAATTAGTGCTGCTCTCTGGGCTCACATAGCCGGGGGCAGGGAACAAACCCGCCCCAGCCCCACAGCCCCACCCTCCTTCACAACATCCTGTCAGAGGGCGTCCTCTCTCCCTCCCCAGGCTGCCCTCTCTCCCTCCTGAACAGCCCAAAGAGGCTTGTCCCTCAAAGAGCCCAGAGAGAGACCCCCAGCCTCGCCTGGACATCGTCCTTGTGTAGATCCCACCCTCTCCTGCTGGACCATAGAGACCATTTCATTTCCACAGCGTCTGAAACTGCCCTCCGCCTCTTGTTCTCCAGTGGGAAAGGCCAGAGAGGAGCTACGAAGTCGGCAGACTTTGCCCTAAGGCCCTGGCTGTCCTCTTAAAAGAACAAAACCAAGCCAAGTGACACCAGTTCTTTATTAGGAGTTAAGTCGGCCTGTTCCTGTCGTGGTTTCATGTGTGCGCACACCCTGTCAGGCCCGGAGAGCCTCGGAACAAATCCCCACCCCTGCCCACCCCTCTCGGGCCACTGTAGGGACACAGAGCGTGGCTGCTGTACACATCACTAGCTGTGATCCTGGAAACGGGTCCCTCATGGGTCCCCCACCAAGAGCAAAGGGAGAAGACTCCGGATGGAGATATCAGGGGCAAAACTGGGAGACTCCTGATGGAGAGGGTGCAGGAGAGGGGAGGGGGATGTGGGTGACTTGATCAGGACCACCTCAGGCCAGGGACGGAGTGGATCCGAGCAGACCCCGGCTTGCAGGTGCCCCACCTGCTGGAGCAGAGGCTACTGGGAGCAGGGAGGCTCCGGGGGGCAGTCCTTGAAGTAGTCGTGGCAGTAGGTGCAGAGGCAGGCAAGGGAGCGCACGTATTCAGCAAAGTCCACCTCGCAATCCTTGTTGGTGTCCAGAACGCTCATGAATTTATTGTAGTCACACTCCCGGAACTCCGTCTGTGAGGGGTTGGGAGGGGTTGATGGGGCAGGTTGAAGAAGGCAGGACACCTTACACAGGCTTCCTCCCCCCTACTCCTACATGATCCCACCCATCCCAACCCACACCCCCTCTGGGGGCCAGTCTCACCCTCCCCACCCTGATAACTCACTACGCCAGCCCCCTCCCAAACCCTCCTTCTCAGACCACGTACTGAGCACCCACTATTGCCACCGAGCGCCTCTATGTGCTAGGCATTCTTCCCATGCTCTCACTGCATCCTCCCAGCAGCCCTGGAAACCAGCAGGGCTGATGAGGAAACTGAGATTCCGGGTGTCAGTTCCCTTCCCAGTATCCCCTCCCCATGGTCTAGCTCCACCCCTCTTGCTGTCCTATGCTCCAAGCTTGTCCAAGCAGTGCTTCCCCGCAGGGTCGGCACCCCAGGTGCTCACCGGGGTCCAGGTGGGCAGCTCCTTCTGTAGCAGCTCCTTGAGCTCTGCCTGGCAGAGCTTGTGCTTGTCCCCACAGCGCCCCGCATATTCTCGGAAGGTGCACACGACGGCAGCCACCGCCTGCTCCAGAGGCCTAGCCATCCTCACTGTTGCAGAACAAGGATGTGACCCACAGCAGAAGCCCTGGTCACCTCCCCCACCCCGCCCCTCTCCCCTCCATGTTTCTGGGACTGCTCCCAGGCTTGTCTTAATTTCCACCAGGCTTCTGGCCCTACAAGCCCCTCCTCCTCCAAGCAGCCCACCCTGATTATACCAGTGTCACCTAATCTTCTTGCCTACGGCCCATCCCCTCCACCGCGTTGTTATTTTCCTGGACAGAGGTCTCATTTCCCCAACATCCCTGCAAGGCCCCCAAGGGACTCCCTGACTCTCTCCACATTTTCTCATCCCAGACACCCAAGAAAAACTCAGTTCCCTCTGCGCCACCCCAGGACATATAGCCCTTGGCCCTGGAAGCTTCCTCCCCTTCGGGACCCCAGAGCTTCTGTAGGAACTTGCTCAAAGAGAGCCTTGCCCCATGCTCTCTGTCCTCAGGTTCTTGAAGAAGCTGGGCGTTCTTAGGAAGGGTCAGGTCCACGAGAGACGCCCACTGCCTCACCACTCCTCACCATCCCTCCCCTGACTCAGGGAAGCTACATCCAAGGGAAATACTTCTGGGACCCTCTTGCCTCTCACTAGCTGCGCAGCCCTGGATGAGCCGTTTACCCTGCCTGGGTCTCAGGCACCTTATCTGTCAAGTGGGGTCAATCCCATCTCACAGGCCGAGTCAGGCAGGTGTCATATCTATAAAGTGGGGCCAGTCTTACCTCCCGGGCCTAGACAGGGAGCTATATCAGGTATTTGTCTACCTCTAATCTGCCCCATCTGGGGCCGTCCCAGCTTCCTGACCCCTGGGGGCCTTGAGACAGAAGGCTCTGCATAGGGGTACCCTGTTCTGTTGGAGGGGAAACCCTTTCTGGAATTTCCCTCCCCCCTTTCCACTGGCTCCTTTCACTGCCCTTCTGGGAGGACACTTGCAGCTGGGAGGACACTGGTGAGACCATCGGGCAGCCTGGGAGCCAAGTGTTGTTTTCCTGTGAGCCCCATGACTCACTGCCGGTTCCCCCAGGGGATAGGAGTCTTACAACACGAGAGACCCAGGGCCAAGCCTCTGCTTCTAATCTGATGATTCCCCCGAGACCCAGGGCCAAGCCTCTGCTTCTAATCTGATGATTCCCCCTCTGCTGGGCCTATGGAACAAATGGCCAGCAAACGGTTGTGGCTGTGTGGGAAGAGAAGGCAGGGGGAGGTGGGGCCAAGCACTCCCGGGGTCTCTTTGTGGCAGCCCAGGATGGGAGCAGGGTGCCCAGGTTCCCAGGAGAAGATAGGGCCAAGATCCCAGGGAGAGGAATCTCAGAGGTGCTCAGCTGCCCTTCTGGGCTCCTGCCAGCCTGCCCAGTGCCACCACTGCTGCTTTTCCAGAAGCTCGGTGCCTGGAAACGGGAGGGAATCCTCTCCTCCCCAAGCAGTCTGGCTTGTCTCAACCCGCAGTCAGGGAAGAAGGAAGGAAGCAAGGGGAGAAGGAGGGAGCTAACCAAGGGTAGCACCAGTGCTTTTAACCCATTGCCCCCACCCCAGGCCCAGACCTCAGCTCCTCACACCCTCTAACCCAAACTTCCCAACGGCCCCCCTCACCGTACAAGGGAACCCCTGAGTCCACTACATCTGACTTCCCTCACCTCATCAACCCTGCTGTGGTTATCCCTCCAGCCCCATGCCCGACCCTGGGCCTGGAGACAGATCCCGCGCTGCCTAACACCCAAACCAGAGCAGGACCCAAGCAGCCGGCACTTACCACTGGTGCTGGTGTTTCAACTGTAGGCGCCTAGACTCAGCATACCCCTATTTGTAGTCTGCCAGGGAAGGAAGAGGGCAATTATAGGAGAGCCCAAGCAGGTCAAGCGGAGGATGCCCCCAGGGGCTCCCCCTTTTTCCGGAAGCACCTATTACTGGGGCTGTCACCCACCCACCTATCCACGCACACATCAAAGGCCCG